AGTCAGCCCTATTCTAAAAAAACCTGGTTTAGATCCCAATGATTTCAATAACCTCCGTCCCATTTCCCATCTTCCCTTCATTTCCAAAGTCCTTGAGAAAACTGTTGCATCTCAGCTCCATTCACATCTCACCCGCAATAACCTTTATGAACAGTTTCAGTCTGGCTTCCGTCCCCACCACAGCACAGAAACAGCTCTCATCAAGATCACTAACGACCTACTCATTGCTGCTGATTCTGGTTTAATCTCTATTCTTATTCTCCTCGATCTGAGTGCGGCCTTTGACACCATTTCTCATCCCATCCTCCTTAATAGACTCTATTCCTTAGGCATCACTCACACCCCCCTCCGCTGGTTTCAATCTTACCTTACTGGCCGCACTCAGTTCATCCAGTTAAAATCCTTTACCTCAGAACCCTCCCCAGTCAAGTCAGGTGTGCCCCAGGGCTCTGTCCTGGGGCCCCTCCTCTTCATAGTATACCTCCTCCCTATCGGCAAAATCTTCCGCAAATTCAATATCCAGTTTCACTGCTTTGCAGATGACACCCAGCTCTACATTTCCAGTAAGCCCAACTCAACTCTCCCACCATCCTCCCTTACACTCTGCCTCTCTGAAATCAAATCATGGTTCACCTCTAATTTCCTCAAACTCAACGGCAATAAAACTGAACTTCTTCTAGTTGGCACTAACTCCACCCTCTCAACATCTGACAGCTTTTCTTTAACTATTGACAGTGCCACAGTCTCCCCCTCCCCTCACTTCAAAAGTCTGGGTGTCATACTCGACAGCTCACTTTCTCTTCAGGCTCACATTAATAACTTAATTCGGTCAGCATACTTCCATCTACGTTCCATAAACCGTCTTCGTCCCTCACTGACCCCTCACACTGCCGCCATTCTCGTCCACAGCCTCGTCACCTCCCGTCTCGACTATTGCAATTCACTTCTTTATGGTCTCCCCAACAAACTCCTTCATAAACTGCAACTGGTCCAGAATTCAGCAGCCCGTATTATCACCAGAACCCCTTCCTTTCACCACATCACGCCGGTTCTCCAGCAGCTCCACTGGCTCCCAGTTAAATTCAGGCCCATCTTCAAAATTCTCCTCCATACCTTCAAAGCAATCCACAACCTCTCTCCTCCATATATCTCAGACCTTATAAGTATTCACACCCCGTCCCGTTCACTCAGATCTTCTTCTTCCATCCATCTTGCGGTTCCTTCTGCCCGTCTCGCTACCATGGGGAGCAGAGCTTTCAGCCGCTCTGCTCCTCGACTCTGGAACTCACTTCCCCCAGACATCAGGAACATCGACAGTTTTACCCTTTTCCAATCAAAACTCAAAACACATATGTTTAAATCTGCCTACAACCTCTGATTTTATTGAAATGTTTCTCTCTGTTTTTTCTTCTTTGGGTTTTATTATTGTTTTATTGTATTTTATTACGTGTTTTGTGTAAAGTGACCTTGGGTGTCCTGAAAGGCGCTTTGAAATAAAATGTATTATTATTATTATTACCAGCCGTGAGACAGTGGAGGTCCGGAGGCAGGGCCACGGTCGAAGGCAGGTCCCCCTCTGACCAGAGCATTCCCTCCTCATCATCAATGAAAGCATTAATGCGACTCAGAAAGTCCACGCCACGGGTGAGATCCATCCTCGCGTGGTCGGAGATGTAAACAGGGCGTGTCAGAGTCACGGGCCCGAGTGTTATCTGGACATCGAATCTAGAAGACAAGATTAGGTCATGAGAGGAAGTCCTGTCAATTACAGAACATGGTGTGATTTCTGGGGGCCTGACCCCCCCCCCCCCCCCCCCCCCTCCACAAGAAATGCAAATGCGATCGAACATGGCTCGTGTTACCAGTGTAAAGTCTGAACTTGTGTCAAGAAGTGTGTCGCAGAATAGATTCTGGGTCAGCTTGACCGACACAGGGGCGTGTCCAGGGAGTGGCCTGGGGTGGCACGTGCCACCCTAGGAATCTGATTGGCCACCCCAGGTGCCACCAAACTAATTTACTTTTAAATAGGCTTTTCATTGTCCACAAAAGGCTTGGGGGTAAAACACAAAAAGCATAACCATTGGTGCCACCCATGCACAAAGTTGTGCCTCACCTGGGCCACCCCATTTTAAAAGATCTGGACACGCCACTGGACCGACACCAGAGATTTACCACCTGTCTCCTGGGGCACTAGGTGTCCCAAGAACTTTACTGAAGTCTCTGAGACGGGGTGGACGTCAGGAACAGGATCTGTTTCCTGGTGGAACGACTCTTCTGTTTGCAGGTTTTGTTCTGGAAGCAGATCAATAGAGAGCTTCACATCTGGTATAACAGAATGATCTTGTGAAATTACGTCAGGCTAGTTAGTCAGAGACGAGGGTGTTTGCTTTCGATCAGAGCCGAGTAAAACATCAGAATATTTTGATTCTCGTTTATCTGGCGGGAGATCCGAGGAGCATGCAGTTATCACTCGTTTTCACAGCAGCGTGCTTGTTTTACTCTCGACGTCTGTGACTTCCTGACGCAGTTTGGAGAGCTGAGTTATCATCTCAGCCGTCTGCATTTGGAACTGGTTTCTCACTTCTAGAACGAAAGATGCTAATAGCCTAATTTCCTCTGAGCTCATTTTAAAAACAATGTACAGCCCTTTAATTTATTTTAAAATTTATGGAAGCTGACTTCAGTTGTTAGTAACTGAGCTGTGTTAAATTTTTGTTTGAACAACACTGATAATACACCAGGAACCTTATTTTGAGAAATAAGCATTAGAAGTGAAACAACAAAGAACAGAAAGGAAAAAGAACTTTATTGAGCCGGGTGTTAAAACCGCCACAAGATGGCAGCATTGATCGGCTAAGGAACTGTGGTTGATGGAGGTAGGCCTGATGCTTCACTCCTTAACCAGATTCATGGACGAGCTAAGCTGTTGAGGCTAAGCTCTTGGTTTTGGCTAAAACGCGGTGATTTTAATACCGAATGTTTACCCAGAAGGATTACGCGGGACGCTACTGTCGACGGCGACCTGTTTGATCGCTCGGTCTTACCTGAGTAAAACCTATCCCCTACCACGAGTCGAACAATCCGTGGACTTCTTTTTAGGTATTTCCTCTTGAAAAGGTGATTTCCCTCTTCAGCGGCGACGCGTGCCGTGCACTGGCTGACGTTGACTTCAGCTGGATGATGCTGTATTTCATGGTGTTCAGACGCGGAAGCTTCTGTTTTTGCTATCTCGTCTAAAACTGGACCTTTTTGTTCGTTTTAAACAAGCAGAGTCGCGCAGGAGTGGAGTGACGAATTTGTACCAAACCACTCGATCGTTCCCAAAAGCTTAAGATAAGAGCGTTTACGCTGTAGCGGAGAACGGGGTGCTATATTTCCAGCCAGTCTGGCTGGCTAGCGGTTAGCTCTCACTAACGTGAAGAGTGAAAAGGAGTTCTGTGACTCGGAGGAGCAGTCTCTCAACAAAGTGACGGATAAACGGTCAAACACACTCAAACACAATCAAACAACACATTCACTTACTTTAGCAGTTAGGATGTCTTATAAACAGTCCCACAGACCTGTGGATTATCGCTGTATTAGAATCTGCCGGATGTTTATGCCGGATGTCGGTGTCACCGTAAAAAGCTTCCCTCCCAGAAGTATCCAGAGGAAGAAATTTACGGTGAGACACCTCCCGTTTTTAGTAAAATATTGAAAATAAAACACAGAAATAGCGTTTTTATTTAGGAAGAATGGCTTGCCGGATTGATGGTACAATAACTTTAAACACTCTGTGTACTGATGGACTAAGGTGGGGTGAGACATGATATGAATGATGGTGTGTGTGTGTGTGGGAGGTTATTCAGAACCAGCGGATCCGGAGAAGCATTTAGTTCTGAGTGGGAGTGAATGTTTCGCTCTAAGCTTTAGTAGGAGATTTGTAACACACATGAAACGCCATCTGTCGGTCTACGTACCCCAGGGGAAGCCTCTGATTAGATCCAGCATGCCGAGGTTCTCTTGGACCCTCTTTGGTACCGAAGCCGGTAGAAAAGCAGCGGTGCCGACCAAACTAGTCTGGGAATGCTTCCAGGTCACGACAGGTTATCACTGGCGTCTCCGAGACCCTGAAGGGGTCGTGAGGTTCAGCTTTTATTCTGAAGGAACCGTTGCGGTCAGGTGTAACTGCAACAGGTTTTATCCATCTTAGGTGTGTTCTTGCTGTGTCTTTCTAAATCCATGCTTTCGTTCTTTTTTTAAACACAGAAACAGTTTTGTTTACCTGTTTGTAGCTACAGTTTCGCCGACGGCCCGGAACACCGGCAGCCGTCGGCGAAACTGTAGCTACAAACAGGTAAACAAAACTGTTTCTGTGTTTAAAAAAAGAACGAAAGCATAGATTTTATCCAGCTTGTCGAGGTTCTTTATGGCTGAAGAGGAAGTCCGGATGGCCGGTCCGAGACTTCTCCAGAACGCTTGAACCAAAGAAAAGGTGGCGTGGGATAGTTTTTATAATTGTCATATTTTGGTTTACTGGCGAATCAGAATTTGACGTGAAAAAGAGGGTTTATACAAACACCACAGATAACCACGCCCAGCCAGAAACAAAGGTTCTGATTGGATCAGACAACAGGAAACGTGTCGTGTGACTTTAGCATTACGTGTCATCAGTGTCTAGTGCAAACGTCCAGGATTATAATAACTTGTAAAATACTACTGATCACAGGATTATAGTATCAAGTAATAACATTGTCATTTCACAGACTGATTGAACATTGGGCTCACATTATTATTGGTAATTAACAGTCATTGATTATGTATTTATCAGAATAGTTCTTGTCTTCGCTTGGTAACAGAGGTGAAGCAGTTCAGATGAGCAGAGTGCATGAAAGACCTTGGCCGCTATCTCAAGTAGATTAGCCTGTCAGAGTCTTTATGTCTCTGCTCGAGCAGACGCAGCAGATCATGACCTTTAGGTCGTAAACAGGACATTCATGACGCTACAAACACACAACATGTGGTAATAAATTATTGTTTTTTTAATAAACCCTTTCTTGCATGAATTATGAAACCTTCAACCAGGATTTTTAGGTTTAAATGAAACAAAGTTAGACTAAAACATTGAATTCACAAATAATTCATTACACATCCACCTCAGTGGACAGCTGAACATGAATTATGTTGGCTAGAGTCCAAAAGGAAGGTTCAAGTGCAACAAAGTTGTCAGCAGCAGCTTAATAATAGCAAAAACATGTTTTGAGTAGCTGTCCACGGTAGTGACCATTACGCATGAAAGGGTTAATTAATTCATGTTATTTTTAAATAATTAATTTTTATGTTTCATCCTACTACTATGGGACAGCAGCAGCTCCGGAGGTAGAGCAGGTTGTCAGGTAATCGGAAGGTTGCAGGTTTGATCCCGACCAGAGAATTCTGTTGTTGTGTCCTTGGGCAAGACACTTAACCCACCTTGCCTGCTGGTGGTGGTCGGAGGGACCGGTGGTGCCTCTGTCGGCGCGCCCCAGGACAGCTGTGGTCACATTGCAGCTCATCCCCAACGTGTGGATAGGTGAATGACCGATTGTGACGTGAAGCGCCTTGGGGGGTTGTAGAACCCTAAGCAGGCGCTAGACAAACACAGGCCATTGACTTTTACAGCTACAACTGATTAAAAGTAGCATCTGTCTTAGAAACACACAATTCATGTGCTTTACCGATAGTTACCACTAGGTGGTGGTATAGGTCTGCAACAGGTCCCACATCTCAGGACATGATCAGCTGTGAAGCAGGTGTGATACAGTGTAAGCATACCAGCATAGCAAATATGTAAACGCAAACATCACGAGTCATGTTTATGCTGTAAGTGTTCAGCTTTGGTCTGGGCTCGAAACGACCTGATTCTGCTCTAAATCATGTCAGGACCTGAACATCTAGTCAGTTACAGTAAGTTAATGTACAAAAACCCTCAATTACAGGCTTGAGCAGCTCTTACACACACACACACACACACACACACACACACACACACACACTTGACATTTACTGGGTTCAGATTGTGTTTCAGCAAACTTTCCTCCAGCTGAACCACATAAAACGCGTCTCCCTTCCAAAACACGTCCTGTTGAGCGCCTGGGTGACTCAGCGTCTCAGATGGCCGCTGCAAGGTGGGAGGAATATTCTCGAGAAGATAACAGAAGATCGTAGAGAGGGAAGGGAAGGGGGCTGAGTAGAGGAAAGTCAAACCCACCCAGAGCTCTTCTAACGTCACCGTTCACATCACAGATGTTCCCACAGACACTCGGCGTGGGCCGCGTGTGTGGAGAAGGGCTGCGATGGGCTTTTTACGCCTGCTGTTATGTAGGCACAGTGTGCGTAAACAGCCTGGGACTTTTACGCGCGGATATTAAAAATACTTTTCATTAGAGAGAATCTGAAAGTGTCGAACACAGAGCCAGCGTGCGCTCCTGGCATGCCCATCCCCTCCGATTAACGGTTTTTAGAAAAACACGCAGAAACGGACAGGCTGCGTGGGTGCTCCTGCTCCTGGTTCTGTTTCTATCTTTAGGGGAGATGTTACTGATGGAAATAAGACAATACGTTGTTTCTGGCAGATGAAGAGGCCTGAA